AAAAGCCAGCCCCGGCGGAGGTTTGGCTCCCGGCTGGGTCAGCCCGGCACCGCTGGCCGGCGCGGGGCTGGGGAGGGTGTCCGTCCCTCCTGCTGCTCCGGGGCTGTCCCAGCCCAGCAGCGGAGATCAACTCCCTGCATGGGATGGGGTCTGGTGCATCCACCCCTCTCTGCACCTCTAAACAAAACCTCCCTTCTACCCAAGGCTTTCTGCTCTCTGGGAAGGTCTAGGGACAGGTCTTGTTTGCCTCTGGAAAGGGACCGGGTTTGGAAACTGGGGTCTGCAGCGGAGGGTGCTGGGAAGAGGACTTTCTTCTAGCTGTCTTACTGGGCTTTCCCAGGCAGTGGAGCTTTACCAGCAGGTCCTCGGCCAGACGCACGTCGGGCAGCAGCAGTGTGCTGGATTTCTCCTTGGGGAAAGCCCTGCTTTCAATTGTCCCGGGCTCAGTGGCTGCATGAGGCACCCAGCCCTCCTCTTGCCGAGAGCCATTTGCCTCACCCAGCCCTGCCCGCTGGTGCCATCCGTCCTCCTCTGATGGGGAGATGCTCTGCCCCTGGGAGGGTATGGAGGGATGGCGGGGCTGGATCTTAGGGCTGCAGCCAACCAGGCAGGTGTTGAGCCTCTGCCATGCAGGGTTTGTCCCGGGCACTGGAAGGCGCAGCCGTGTCCCATTTGAGTCGGGGGCTGTTGTCACACTGATGAGCAAGGGGGGCTGGTTCTGCCCCCGGGAGGGTGACGAGCTGGCCTGGAGCCTCCCCTGCCGTGGGCTGCTCAAAAGCCGGAGGGAAGGAAGCGGGGCTGGTGGGGCTTGTCCCCATGGCTGGGGAGGGTGAGCTTCCTTCCCCCCTGCTGCCCCGCACATCTGGTGGGGGCGCAGCTGCGGGAGGTCTGTCGCCGCTCCCACGCCTCGGCACCGGCTCTGGCCCCCGCGGCCCCACGGCTTCTCTCCCACTCCCAGATGCCCCCGGCCAGGCATAATCATGAGGCCCGGGGGTCCCCGCAGCTGCCGAGGGTGCTGGAGGAGGAGGCTGGGGCTGTGATGCTGCGTGGTGGCTGCAGGAACACAAATCTTTGTACCCCTGCATGGTGGGAGGAGGGTGAGGAGCTTAGGAGGATCTCATGGGCTTGTCCTCTTGTCATTGTCACCATCTGCCCCACTGGTGTCGGGGCTGTGTCTCTCCTGAAAGGACAGAGCTTTTAAGGAAGCCGTGGGCAGTAGGATCCTTGGTGATGGTAAAATGATGCTTTCGCAGTGAATGATGAGCAGTGGTTAGTCCCGGCTGGGATATACCAGGCTGGGCTTCCAGGCAACACCTTCTGCAGGTAGAAATGGTCAGGGTGTCCTTAAAAATGGTGAAAATACAGCCCTGACTGGTGGGGAGCTGGCCTCCTTTTCCTTGCCTTGGCTCGGTATCTGCCCTGTTCAAATTACGCCTGTGGGGAGCAGGGAGGAGAAAAGAGATCCCCTAGAAAAGCCAGACAAGGCTGGGACTCGGGGAGGGAGTTCAGGGGAGCCAGGCAGGAGCCCCCTCTCCCCAAGGGAGCTTTGGGTGCTGGGGAGCCCCAGCCCTGCCCGCACCCCTCCGGTGGGCCGCTGTTTTCGGTGTCCCTGCAGCATCCGGGCTTGGTGCAGAGGGTGCAGAGGCACCGCCGGGACCGACCGCAGTGACCGACCGCAGTGACCGACCGCAGGGACTGACCGCAGGGCTCTGCTGCGGCTCCCCTGGTCAAAACAGGCGCTTTCCCTCCCGTCCTGTGCTCGCTGGCCAGCTGGATGGGGCGCTGGACGTCTCTGGGCATGTGGTGGAGATCAGCATCATGGTGTTCGGTGTCATTCCTTCCTGGGGATGTTTTTCAAACCCAGCTGTTCTCCCCTTGAGGATCGACTCTTTTCTCCCTCTGGCTGGTGCCCAGCTCTTGGCAAATCTCCCTTAACCGGGCTGCAATCCCACATCCCCACCACCGCAGTCCCCTGTGCCCTTAAGGTGCTGCTGAGAGCCCTTCCCACTCCTTTTGCCTTTGGGCCCCTTGTTTTCGGAGGTGGTTTTGCTTCCCCTCCCTGAAAGCCAGTCCTTTGGCAGCAGCCTCTTCTGGGCATGGAACTGGTATCAGTCAGGAGACCTACAGGTCAGGGACCCGTGCTGGCTTTGGGCCTGAGAAACATGACGAGGCGAGGGGGCATTCAGACTGGGTGCCTCAGGTTCTTGTCTGCTCTAACAGGTTTTGGCCCCTCTCTTAGGGTTTGGTTGCAGCTCCAGCCTTGGGAATGTCTGAGTGGGATCTGGTGGTGGCACCTTCAGAGGGATTTCATGGGTTGTGCTGGTGGTGCAGGGTGCCAGGTCTGCTGGTGGGACACCTGGGTTGAGTTTCAGCTTCGGTTTGGGAAGTCATGGTATTCTCCAGCACCAGGAAGCTTTCCTCCACCTGAGCAGCCCCTGGGGGGAAGAACATGTCCAAGTCCCCGTTGTCGTGCTGAGCTTGGCCCTCTTGCAGGCGGGAGGTGGTACAAGAGGCACCTGACCTACCGGGTGGTGAACTGGCCCTCCTACCTGCCGCAGCACGAGGTGCGCCTGGCTGTGAAAGCCGCCTTTGAGCTCTGGAGCAACGTGTCCTCGCTGGTGTTTTGGGAGGCGCAGGATGGCCCGGCTGACATCCGCCTGACCTTCTTCCATGGGGACCACAACGATGGACTCAACAACGCCTTCGATGGACCAGGTGCTGGTCGCTTCCCCCTCGTAAGCTTCTCTTTTACAACACGGGCTCTTCCCCAGCAGGGAGGAGGGCTGGGGCGGCGGTGGTCTGGAGGTGATGGAGGCGAGGCTCTGCCCTGGCAGTCCCTCTAACCAAGGGCACCTCCCAGTTTGCACCAGTTTGCTTTCTGATCTGGGGTCCTCACTCCCAAGTCTGCAACTGGGGTCTGCCAGGAAGGCAGTTGAGGTGCTCGTTCTAGGATCACTGGTGGCCTTTGAGGAGCCCTCCCCACCCTTACCGCATCCTCCAAACCTGTGCTCATTCCTTCCAGATGAGCCTTGCCTTCTGAATATCAGACGAGCCCAGGTTTTCTCTCTTCTTGAGCCTTTGCCCCACATGGGTCACTGGAGTGGCTTCGGTCCCCAGCCCAAGCCCAGCAAGAAACCAGACGCATGAACCACAGAGCAGACAAACCCCCTCGTATTCAGGAGCAGAATGCAGAACTGGTTTGGGTTGGACCCACTGTGGGAAGCCGCTGTTCTTTCTCAGGAGACCTCCTAAATAGCTAACATTGATGCCTATTTAAGCAAACCAGAGCTACATGTGCCCCTCCCCACTCCTTAGCTTCCAGCTGAGGTCCTCTCCTGCCCCACAGTCCCTGATGGCTCTCGTGTCCCCAGGAGGTGCCCTGGCTCACGCCTTCTTTCCCCGGCGCGGAGAAGCCCACTTCGACAGCGCCGAGCGCTGGTCCCTGCACAGTGGCAAAGGACGCAACCTCTTCGTTGTGGTGGCACATGAGGTCGGGCACACGCTGGGGCTGGAGCACTCCCCTGTCAAGAGCGCCCTGATGTCTCCCTACTACAAGAAGCTCAGCAAGGATTTTGTCCTCAGCTGGGATGACATCTTGGCTATCCAGAATTTGTACGGTGAGCTTGGCTTCCCCGAGCATCCCTTGGTTCCTCCGGGGCTGTTCCCTGGAATGGAGAGTGAGGAGCAGGGATGGGAGCAGGTCCCTGCAAGGGGAGAGAACTATGTGCAAGGGGTGTGATGGGGAAGGGCCCAGTCCCTTTGCGTTTGGGGAGGAAGATGGGGTAGGGCATGTGGGATGGGTCCTCCGGGTCCTCCAGGGCAGGGAAGGTTGAACTTGCTGACTGTTTGTTTGCAACCAGAGAAAAGGTGGTGCGTGTTTGTTGGGGGTACTGAGACATCTTTGCCGCCATCGTATAAAGGGGAACGGGAACCAGATCGTGGGACAAGGAGTGTGTGGAGCCCTGGGGCAGCTCCACAGCCCTGTGCTCGTGCAGTGCCTTGGGGAAAGCCCCTTCTCCACGACTCACCACCCCTTGCTCCATCCCAGGGAAGCCCTCCAAAGGCTTGGCCATCCAGCTCCCGGGAAAGGTCTTCACTCACTTCCAGGACTGGAGCGCGGACCTTTATGGCGGGGACCAGCAGTGGAGGAGCCTCAGCGCCTATTACTGCCACTCCTTCTTCGACGCCATAACTGCTGGTGGGTGTTGGCCAGTGCAGCCCTCTCCCAAAACACATACCCCCACCCCTCGCCCTGCCACGGCGGCGGCCAGTTTCTGCTCTGATGAACTCCAGTGGTGGGAACGGTGGGTTTGGCTGGTCCACAGCCCCGTATGTGCTGCGGGGTTGGTGGCATCACTGATGCGCGTCGTTGCCACGGAGTGGAGCAGCTTGAGCTCACGGCGATGCCTCGGTGTGTTGGGAGGCTGGGAAATGTCCTAAAACTTGGGCTGTGGCAAAGCTTATTCACTGCAGGAGCTCAGCCATGAGGGACGAGCCTTGAGAGGGGGCTGCGGTCAGCTTTTATCCTCCCCAGGCTGGCGTGGAGGCACTGAATTAGGAACGCTGAGGGGGCAGCTGGAAAGGCAGAAGGGACCTTCCAAATCCCAAGCACTGTTACAGGGAGCGGAGGACAATTTTCTCACAGTAGCTCTTGGGTCCTTGCTGTAAGATGCCTTTGAGCAAGAAAGGAAAGAGCTAGACTTGTGCTATCTAGTGACCCAAAGAGAGTGAGCATCTGTCCCCAGGCCCATCCTCTTCCTCCCTACACAAAACCTTTTAGCCCTTAATCATAGAATCATAGAATAGTAAGGGTTGGAAGGGACCTTAAAGATCCCACCCCCCCTGCCATGAGCAGGGACATCCTCCACTAAACCAGGTTGCTCAGAGCTCCATCCAACCTGGCCTTGAACACTGCCAGGGTGGAGCACCCCTGCAGCACCGCAGAGCATCCCGAGCACCCCTGAAGCACCGCAGAGCTGCGCGGGGAGGAGAGGGGACGGGGGAGCGGTGGTTGGGAGGTGGGATGAGGCTTCCCACCTGGGACGCCCTCACTCCTCCCTCCCGGCCCGGCCCCCCCCGCCGGCATCGACGCCTGCGCCTGGTCCCAGCTCAGCGGCAAGTTTTACTTCTTCAAAGGTAGGTGAGGCACGGGTGGGAGAGCTCTCCTCGGGGCTGCTGCCGCTCCTGCCTGCGGTCAGGCTCTCCGGGTCGGGCTGGAGCACCTCGTCCTGCCCATGGCCCCCGTCCCCTCCCGCTGCTCCTGTCCCAGTGCAGAACTGGGGCGTTGCTGGAGCGGAGGTGTGCTAAAACCCACAGGAGCCCTGGGCTCGGCACCTACCGTGGATTAACCGTGTGGCCTTGGGCGTATCGCCCCAGCAGCCCACATCACCCCTTCCGTGCCTCAGTTTCCCCTTTAACGCATTCAGGAGAGCAGCGCTCGCCTGCGTGTGAAAATAAAACCGGGTGCATCCAACCCTTTGGGGTCTCGGGGAGAAAATGTTCCCTGAAGGCGTGTGGTCGCTGGGGAGCTGCACTGAGAGCAGCGTGTTCACGGTGTGCGTGGTTCCCTGCACCGTGCCGGGGGCTGGGCTGCCGTGGGGAGCCGAAATGCCGTTTGCAAGCCATCCGGTGGCACGCCGCGGCCGGACGGGCAGAGGGAGGTCAAACCAGGCAGCTCAGCTGCCAGGCTCAGCCCCAGCTTTTACTGGAAACCAGTTGCCGGCTCTTCAGAAAGGAGCCTTGTTGCTGCAGCTGGGTGAGGACCAAAAGCCCCTCTTGCTCCCTCCCTCCCCGGGGCTGGGGCGGGCCGTGGGTTGCGGGCAGAAAG